CCGCGCTCCAGCCCCTCATTTCCCCCACTTCAGCCGCTCTGGAGCCGCTGCTCTTCCAAAATACCATTAGGCAACTGCAGGGATGTTGCTAGGATACCGGGCCCTCTGCAATCGCTTCTTATCTCCCTGTGCTAACGCTGCCTACCTTTCCAACAGCTCTTGACGTTTTCCTGTCGGTGATTTTCTTAGGCAAAAGCCATATTAAATAAGAGGAAATTTAGATTTGAAAGGTGTTTTTCATTACAGTGTAACTGAAAAAATAGCATTTTGCAAGCATTGGGTAGATAATGGAGCTCTGCAGTTAAAAGATTGTGTTGTTGTGTGTGTGTATTTTTTAAGTAGTGGGTGCAGGTACATGCAGAGAAGGACTGGTCCATGCTGAGGGCCATTAGTGTTTCTGTAAATGGAGGTCACTGCACACACACTGTTCTTGGTTTTCCTGCTCTTCTCCGTCCTTCATCCAGCCTCTCCATGGGTTCAGTCCAAACTGTAGGTTTCCCTCATCATGGCTGTAGATCTGTGTATTTTCCTTCTCTCTCCCCAAAACAATTATCACCTCAGGGCTGTGCCATTTCATCTCCATTTTCATGTCTATTTTTACTTGTTTTTCTCTGGACGATGGGTCACACAGAACCATTTAGGCTGGAAAAGACCTCCAAGATCACAGAGTCTCACCTATGACTGAACACCACCTTGTCAACTAGACCATGGCACTAAGTGCCACATCCAGGCATGTCTTGAATGCTTCCAGGGACAATGACTCCACACCTCCCTGGGCACTCCATTCCAATGTTTAACAACCCCTTCCATGAAGAAATTCTTCATGATGTCCAATCTGAGCCTCCCCATGTGCAGCTTGGGGCCAGTTCCTCTTGTCCTGTTGCTGGCTGCCCAGGAGAAGAGCGCAGCCCTCCCCTGGCTTCAGCATCCTTTCAGGCAGCTTTGGGGGTGACAGGGTCTCCCCTGACCCTTTCTTTCTCCAGGCTGAACACCCCCAGCTCTCTGTGCTGCTCCTCACATGACTAACTCTCCAGACTGTTCAGCAGCTCTGTTGCTGTTTTCTGGACATGCTCCAGTACCTCAATGTCTTTCCTTAGGTGACGGACCCACAGCTGGACCCAGCGCTTGAAGTGTGGCCTTGAGTCATTTAGGAGATGCTGGATGTACCAATTTAGGAAGCTCCCACATTTCTCTGGGTCACAGTTTCTCATTCCTGCCCCATCCCACTCTGCTACCCCCTTTAAATTAAAATTACAGGCAACTTGGTGAATAGTATCTTCTTGAACTAGTTTCGTCAGAAGAAAGGGCAGGCTTCTTGTAGTGCAGAAGCTTAATTTGCTTTAAGGAAACCAACAATCAACAATAACAAAGGCAATTGCAAAGGCTGTAAAACAAACAAAAAAGTATTTATCTATCTTCTTTTTTCCCTTTTTTTCACTCCTACCAAATTTGTATAGAATTACTGTCCATTCCATGTTCAGTGCATGCTTTAAATTCCCAAAACAGATTAAGTGAAGTTTTCAAACTGTTTTATAATACAGATTATGCAGCATGTCTGAGTTGAATACAAGACTTCCATTTTGCCCAGTGAACTTTAAACCCTGGTCTTGCATCACAGGAGTTGTTCTAGCAAGGACTGGGGCCCATGTATATTACACACCTATAAATTAATGCATGAAGTGCTACACTTTTTTCATACTGACATGTTCACTGAGCTGTTTCACTCTGTTAGGCTAGTTTGAAAAGGAAATTTCAGAGAGAAGGTAGAATGTGCTGTAAATTACCAAAAGCCACATCTTGCCTATTAATTGTGGTACCAAAAGTTTGCTTTAACAAATGTGACTGGTTTGGCCGTGTTGTAATGGCTGTTTAATATTTTAAATATGTTAAGAGAGATATTTACATACCACATACATAAGCAGGTTTCCTTGGTTGATCTTTTGCCTAGGGAGAGATGAGCAGTCTCTCTTACAGCTCTCTGACAGCAATCTCTTACAGTTCAGGGTAAGGAATTTAGGTTCAGGCCCCTCCAAGGGACTACCTTGCATGTGTAATGGTGGCAAACACTTCCACAGCTTCTCTGCAGCACTGCTTTGCTCAGCACACTGCCTCTGGGTGGATGGGCAAGGGAAAAGCCATCCCCCTTTTCTGAGGCAGAAGGGGGAGCAGCCTGGTGCTCTGTCGTGTTTCCATGATGTGCAGATCTATGTGACCACAGTCCCTTTCTATACAAATGTACCACCTCTAGGGGAGATTCTCCTCAGCTGCTGAGAAAGCCCAGCAGTGTTGGGGGACACAGTCACATCACAGTGATATGGCAAGGAGATCCACACTTCTTACCTTCCAGCACATGTGGCTAGGAACAAATGAAAGGAAAATTAAATTTCTAGTATTTTAATTCTAAAAGGAATCAATCCCTTTGGTCTTCACATCAGTAAACACAAAGAATGAGACCTTTCCCTACCTAGGAGGGCCAGCCATATGCAATATAAAGACTGTTTTGAGCAGGGCAAAAGCAGAGTAGCAGGCCCTTAATCCCTCTGCTCATCACTAGGGAGGTCTCTGTGAGATAATTGTCTGAGCATTTCAGTGCTTACACCCTCTGGAGGGCACTCTGGAGTAGGGAACTTCCATAAAAGCCCACTCAAAGATCAGCTACTGCTCTCAAATCCTCCCATTTCCACGCAGAGGAGTCTGGAAACACAAAAAAGGAAAGCTCACACAAAATTAAGGCAGAAGGCAAAATGCAACAGCTGCTGTGAGGCTCTGCAATTTGGCGACTCACTGAGTGCAGACATACCATTTAAATATGTATCTCAAGTTTAGCCGGGTGTATATTCAATTACCATTTGTTAAAAGTAGGGCAGTTATCCTCTGTTAATTGGGCAGTTTACTTTCTTCCACAACCAATCCTCCTTCTGGGGAGATATCTTTGGTTAATGGAGCATTGAGTGTCACTGCATGACTGACAAAAATTACATCATCCCATTATGAGACGCTCCACCCAGAGAGAAGAACCAAGCATTCCTACCTAGATATAATCTGAGATTTAGAACAACAGAAACAGCCTTTTCCACTGGATTCCCAGAGGAACAGCCTTTCCTCACTAAATTCCAAGAAGAGCAGCTTTCTTCTCCACTGAATTCCAGGAGAAAGACCAAGCCCATCTACACCACCACTTGACTTTCAAGAGAAAACTGCACCCTTCTACAGGATCACTGCTCCAACAGAACCACACTTGTCTCTGCAGAAGGACTGCAGTCACCACTCAACCAGACTGCTACCACCTCCCTGACCCACAGGGTGTAAGGTTGTATTCTGACTCTGTCTGTGGTTTTGATTGTACTATTGCATTTGTATTTTTAAATTTTCCTTGTAAAGAACTGTCATTCCTATTCCCATACCTAAGAACTTCTTAATTTCAAAAATTATAAGAATTTGGAGGGAGGAGTCATTTCAAGAAAGGCTCCTGCCTTCCTTAGCAAACACCTGTCTTTTCAAACCAAAACAATATGTAATTGGTATGTAATAAATATCTGTGGTGAAACTGATTGCTTTCTGTAGATAGCTTTCTATAAGCTAATGGTTGTTAAAGAATGACGTTTTCTTAACATTTTGTTTAATTTTAAATAGTCTTATATTGATGTGATTATCCA